CCTATCATTTTTTTCCATCTGCCCCCTTCCATGCCCTACATACCACATGTCTTTGCTTTGCTCAATTTGTCCTCACGTTTGGCCTCAGGTTTGGTGACGGGCTGGTCATTGGCCTTCCTTGCCTTTGAGCGCTTCATTGTCATCTGTAAACCTTTCGGCAACTTCCGCTTCAACTCCAAGCATGCGATGATGGTGGTCCTGGCTACTTGGGTCATTGGCATTGGTGTCTCCATCCCACCCTTCTTTGGCTGGAGCCGGTGAGATGAAAGGGGGAGGGGTGTGTGTGTGGAATTGAGCTGGGATCCTAAAGCTAGGGGCCAGGGGCCTGGGAAAGGAGCTAAAATATTATCTGCCCCCACCAGGACTTTCATCACCTAAAACATAAAGCTGAATTCAGTGAAAAATTCAAGAGCTAAGGCCCTAGATGGAGGTTGAGGAGGTTTAGATGAGAGAAATGAGTACTAAGAGAATTGCTCTCTGTGATACTAGTCTATACTATGACTGATACATGATAACAACTCTTTCCTGCCCTGAGTTTCTAGATAGCCAGTGTCACAGATCTAGCAAGATCCAGAAATCTTGACTTCTCCCTAATACCTGGGGTTTAACTTTTTTTAAAATTCCATTTTATTTTCAGTTCCAAAATCTATTCCTCCCTTCTCCCCCTCTCCCACCCATTGAAACAGCAAGAAAAGCAAAATCGGTTACAAATATGTGTAGTAAATGTGTGGAACAAATCCTGGCCTTACCCATGATGAACTTTCCTGGAACTGTCTTCCCCATCCATACGATAGACTGCCCTTGCCCATTGCAGGTATATTCCCGAGGGCCTACAGTGCTCCTGTGGCCCTGACTGGTACACAGTAGGCACAAAATACCGAAGCGAATCCTACACTTGGTTCCTCTTCATTTTCTGTTTCATCGTGCCTCTCTCCCTCATCTGCTTCTCCTACTCCCAACTGCTGGGAGCCCTCAGAGCTGTGAGTACTTGTTTGACCTGAAGATCAAGAAGGGAGAGGGTCTGGGCTGCTGGAAGGAGTGTTGGTCAAGTGAATGCTTTCTTCTTTTTTTTTTTTTAATTAATTTATTTTTAGTTTTCAACATTCATTTCCATGACATTTTGAGTTCCAAGTTTTCTCCCCATCTCGCCCCTCCCCCACTCCAAGAGGGTGTGCATTCTGAATACCCCTTCCCCTAATCTGCCCTCCCTTCTATCAACTCCCCTCCCTTCTCTTATCCCCTTCCCCTACTTTCCTGTAGGGCAGGATAGATTTCTATACCCCATTGTCTGTATATCTTATTTTCCAGTTGCACATAAAAACAATTTTTAACATTTGTTTTTAAAGCTTTGGGTTCCAAATTTTCCCCCTTTCCTCCCTCCCCACCCACCTTCTTTGAGATAGCAAGCATCTCAATACATGTGTAGTCATGCAAAACACTTCCATAGTAGTCATGTGAAAAACTAATTGTATATCCCTTCATCCTATCCCACCACCAGTTTATTCTGTTCTCTTTTGACCCTGTCCTTCCTCAGAAGTGTTTGCTTTGGATTACCCCCTCCCCAAATCTGCCCTCCCTTCTATCATCTGTCCCCTCTTATCCCCCTCCTCCCATTTTCCTGTAGGGTAAAATAGATTTCCATACCCCATTGAGTGTTCATGTTATTCCCTCCTTAAGCCAAATCCAATGAGAATAAGATTAAGGTGAATGCTTTCTAACACGACCGTGCTGTGAATCCTTGTAGCAGAGAGAAGAGTGAGTCCAAAAGTGTTTCATATGAAGTATGTGTATCAAGGCAGAAGCTATAAGACTAGGAGAGTGGGAAGGTAGGACATTATAAACCAGGTGTGAGAACAATCTGAAGATACCAGAGATCACCAACAATGATTTCCTCCTGGAACCAATGCCAAAGGTCATGGGCACAGAGAGGTCCAGCCAGAATCTGGGATGAAAGTCTGAGAGTGACAAGGCCCCAGGGCTCACCTCTCCCTTTTTTCCCCAGGTTGCAGCCCAGCAACAAGAGTCAGCTACAACACAGAAGGCAGAGAGGGAGGTGAGTCGCATGGTGGTGATGATGGTGGGTTCCTTCTGCCTTTGCTACATGCCCTATGCTGCCCTGGCCATGTACATGGTCAACAATCGGAACCATGGGCTGGACCTACGGCTCGTCACCATCCCTGCCTTCTTCTCTAAGAGTGCTTGTGTCTACAACCCCATCATCTATTGCTTGATGAACAAGCAGGTGAGGCCCTTTCCTCAGCAGTATCAGAGCTTTGATATACCTGCGTGCCTGAAGAACTAAGCCACAGAAACTTAGTGGCTAGCTGCAGAGAGGGTAGAGGTCATTATGGCTGAACTTGAGAGGGAGGATGTCCAAGGGACAGCATAAGATTAGTCATGAACCGGTGCCTGTGAATAGAATGGACACATTCTCCATGTCCTTACAAGGAAAGATCAAAGTCCCCCCCAACCCCCGGCTCCCCCCCCGACCCCCTTCCCCCAAAGTCTTCTTTCTTTAAAATACTCTAAACAACTTTTCCCCAACCTTTGTGCCCCATACTCTCTTTTCGAATCTTTCGAGCCCTCCCAACTCATCAATCTGGCTCCTCCTCCTAGCCCCTAGCTCTGACCTAGACTATCTAAAAATCTCTAAGTACTAACGAAGAAAGCCTTGAGTCGGGTTATTTGAAGATTGACAGCTCCTGCTCAGCCCTGAATTCCCTCTTGGTTTAGACTTGTGTGTGTTCTCTGAAGAGCAGGCTTGAGAATGAACAGACCTGCACTAGGTTGGTGTGAGGAAAACTCCCAAATCTGGCAAGGCAAAACACACTGGAATATTGCTGGGTACCACTTTGCTCCTTCCTCTAAGGGATAATTCAATTTCAATTCAATACTAAAGGAGGTTGAATGGGGACCTACATTCTAGGAGATGGAAGCTTTACCCAGCCAAAAGCCATCTCTTTGGAGAGTATGCCCTAGGAGGCTGGTGCCATTCTAGGACGAGCTCCTGAGTTTGGCTGTTCCTTTGGGCAGTCTCCTAACTGATCTGGCTTTCTAGGCTGGGAATCTCACTCTAGAATGAGCCAAAGGTTCTACAAATTTAATGTTTGAATAACTTTCAATATATCAGTTTCCTTTGTAATCCTATACATTTTATTCTTTTAGAAACATTATTCTGCAGATTGAAGCAAGCTACTTTTCACTTTCTGTATTTTTTTTTCCCTTTTGGGTCTGTCTTCTTTTGAATGACTAATACAGTAATATGTTTTGCATGATTGAACATGTATAACCTCTATCAAATTACTGTCTCAGAGAGGGAGAGAAAATTTGGAACTCAGAAATTTTTTAAAAATGTTAAAAATTGCCTTTGGGGAAAAAAATTATTTAAAAAAAATTTTTCTGAGAAGGGGTCCATGATATATACATAAGGTTAAGGAGCTCTGGTCTAGATTAGCCCAAAATGCAACAAAGCCAGGAATTTGAATGGGAAGATGAAGAGTTTCTCTTTTCCGTATTAGACCACTTATATGAATTCTAGATTGTTTCCTACTCAGTAGACTGATTTCAATTGTCTTATCCCTGTATAGTTTCACGCCTGCATCATGGAGATGGTATGTAGAAAGCCAATGACAGACGACTCTGAAACATCCAGCTCCCAGAAAACTGAAGTCTCCACTGTTTCCTCCAGCCAAGTGGGCCCTAGTTAAGGGATCCCGTAGCGACCCTTAACCTGAGAAACCTGCCTGGGTACAAGTTTTCAATTCCTTTGTCTCCCCCACTTAAGACTCCTACAAGGTGGTGGCCACATGGGGGAAGATAGCTAGGGGTGTTCATTATCCTTTTTTCTTCATATCCTTCCTACTCTCATCTTAATGAGACGCGATGGTTCATAGCTTTTTTTTTGTTTTTTAAGGCAATTAGGGTTAAGTAACTTGCCCAGGGTCACACAGCTAGTTGTGTCAAGTGTTTGGTCTAAGGCAGGATTTGAACTCAGGTCTTCCTGACTTCAGGACTAGTGCTCTATCCACCGCACCACCCAGCTGCCCTGATAGCTCTTCTTGATTAGTTGACTCCCTAAACTAGTGGCTGAACTGAAAAGTCACAAACTGCATTGGTGTAACTTCTATTCTGAGACAATTTCTACACGGAACTCTGAAGGAATCACTTATTTTCACGTGGCTTGTGGACTTAGTCTCATTCCTTTAATACTGTGTATAGTTTTCTCTATCAGAGTTTATGCTGGGCTCACTACATCCTGAGATAATCTCCTTTCCTCCTCTGCCTTTACAAGGCCCTGAAAAATTAGGTCAGAAACAGCACATCAGGCACAGGGCAGTGCCCTGCAATCGCTTGCTCTTCACGCTTGCTCCAGGCTGGCCGGGGCTTTAGTAGCATCTGATTACCAAAAAGCCCTGAGCCAGCATGAGCATGCTTCAAGCACCACCTTTGTTCTTTTGCTGAGTCCTGGATGTTTTATGTACACACTTTGCATTTTATTCAAGAAACCACAACCCCTTGAATAAAAATGGCAGACTAAGCCTATTTATGAAGTCCTTCTGCCTAAATGTCTGACCTATAGAAACGTCTCTATAGCCCTGAAAAATCTAGGAATCATTATGAAATAATCCAACTGGTATAAATGTAGCATGTGACTCCAGGAGTGGCTTGTGTTTTGGCACCAGCAAACAGTAAGTACTCATATTACAACGGCATGCAGCTGGACTTCATTCTAGCAGTGCAGCACTTGGGGAAACAGGGAAAAATCAGCAAGATTAGTTAAGCTGCAGTGGGAGAGAAAACCCGCTCACAAGATTTTAGGAAGGATGTTGTCAAGCTGGTAGATGCAAGCATCTGAGTGGACATCGTCAACTTAGAATGTTTCCCTCTTATCAACCCCACTACCCTTGGCCCCTTCTTTTGGATGACCTTAATTATAAAGCAAGTATCCATGGTACCAAGAGTTACACCCCCATGGCCTGAAGAGAATATATACACACAAATACAACGAATGTAAACGGTTTTATTGAGAAACAGATAGGAACCTGTTTGCATTACAGAATATAAAACTTGGTTTACACTCCATAAAAAACAAAACACCCAAATCAAGAAGAGAACCAGCATTCACAGGACACACGCTGTGGAGGTGTGGCCTGTTTGCTCATCAGCTTCATGCTTTCTTGAAACCAAAAATAACCCAGGGACTTCATGAGGGATTTTAGTAAAATGCACACTGCTGAGCACCCAGCATGCAGAAACTGCTGCTGCTGTAATATGCTAAGATTCACTCTTTGGGTGGGTGATTTAAAAACTAGAGCTGGGCTCTGTGCACTGTTGTGTGAACCCTCCCCACACAACTCATGACTGAATTGCATTAAGTAAGCTGAGGCTGGGGTATGGACCACTAGGCATCATCAGCCATTTGGCACCAAAACCGGGGGTCTATTAGGGCATCAGACCTCAAATCAGGGGTCAAACCTAGTGGATTAAGAGTCACCCACACTAACCAGTCTTTCTCAACATGGCCATTAGAAGATCAAAGTCCTGACCTTGTTCAGAGTATTCACCCAGTTCCACCTGATGCTATCAAGTTATATCAAAGGTGTGTTATCTATAAAGAGATACATGAAGTAATAAAGGATATATATACACATATGTCTTAGTGACCCCAAAACTGCTTACTTGGAACACAAAATGTGTTTTCATAAGAGGTCTACCTACAATTAAGGTCCCTCAAAAGATACAGTTAGTGTTGTGTGAAGCAAGGGAGGAAGGGAGTCTGTGGAGTTGAAAAAGAGCCATTTCTTTGACCATACTTGGAAAATATAAAGCCTTTACCAAATTCCCCTTCTCCTCTAAGAAGGGTTGGCAGCCTGCTTAGCCATGTAAAGTTTTATTTTGGGGGGGTGGGTGTGGGCAATGGCACTCAAACCATAGGGCCCCTGCCAGGAAAGCCATCTATTGGTGGTGTTCCCATCTCCTCTAGACTCTAGCCATGGATTTATCCTAGCTGACACCAACTGAGGCCTGGGCAATTTTCATCCAAGAGAAAGTGGGAATAAGTGGTTTGCATTTTGAGGTATGAGGATCCCTGGTAAATTTGGCAGCATGTGGTTTTAGGAAACCAGCCCACGAGGATATAAAGAACACTGCAATTGAGATTTTTACTAATACTGTAAGAGGGAAATAAGAATACCCTATCCTACCTGGGGGCATTTCCAAGCGCAGCAGCTTTCATATGGTGGGGTTTACCAGAGTTTCTTTTTACCTTGAGGTTCCATAAAAGAAATGCCTTCACTGATCATCTCTCTTGGCAGGTAAAGGCACTTCAATGACATGACTGAAAATGAGTAAACGATAACTTTTTGAAGCAGGAGTCATTTGCCCAGTGCTACCAGGCTGGCCTGGAGAGCATAGGGCAGGGGGTCTGTCACCCACCCACCTGCTGGCTGGCAACTCAGCAGATAGTAAAGATGATTTCAACAGCTGTCATACAAGCCTGCCCTGGGTATTTCAACGAGTAAATCCACACAGACCTGAGTGAGTGAAGAAACTCGTCTACTTTTCCTTCAGTTCTCCAGTCGTCCCTAGCGATAGCTTTGTGAAAGGACAGATCATACCCACAACATGATTGATTTTCAAGTCACTGGTCCTAACCCTTTTCAGCCCAGCTGTGCTTGTCAGAATGAGTAAATTCAGCTCCTCCGGCAGAAAAACTGCATCAGGGCAAGACTGGCCCAGATTTACAAATAAGAATCCTTTCTTACCAGGGACATGAGGAGGGTCAGGTCCTGGAGAGTTAACTGGTCACAACGAACAGTTGGGAGATAACATACTTTTAGGCAGACAGTGCCATGATGCTGTCTCTTTGATATGAAATATCGGGCAATTTTTTCTTTTTCTCTCCTCTGGACTTTTCCTTGTTGATCTTAGGCTTTACAAAATTAGTTAGCTAAGCAAAAAGTACAAAAAAATTATAGAAAAGGTTGGGGATGGTGATAGACTAACATGAGTGTGAGGTGAGGACGGGCATCCTTCATTTCATACTCCCAACCAGAAAACAAATACAAAAATAAACACAACTTGTTATACATAAAACAAAGTGTAAATCTAAAAAAACACAAGTGTCATAATTACAGTTTCTCATCAGAAGCACAGAATGTCCCTCCAGTCCCTTTGGGAGGAGGAAAGGAGACGGGATATGTTTTGCTGTTGTGTTTTTTCACTGCTTTAAAGTTTGTAATAACAGTCTCAGTAGCGAAAACAATTTTCACGTGAAACCAGAAGCTGTAAAAAATAAATTACTTTTGAAGAAAAACGGGTTTTGTCTGTCAACAATTCAGAATTCATCATGTCGTACTAAGGCCTCGCCGAAATCTGTGGCTTGGCTGCCCACAAACAAATCGTACTTGTCAACGATCTCCTCCTTAGTAAGTTTGCCATCCTGAAACCAAAGATTACATGTCAGTAAGGAAGTCTTTTTCCCACCCCAAGTTCAGAAGCACTAATGGAATACAGAGGCTAAGCAGAATTTAAGATTACGATTCTCTTCCTCATTATAACTAAACACATGAATCCTACCACTACCAGAAAGGAAGTAATCAGTAAGTAATACACCTGCTTTACAGATAAGGAAAATAAACCATGGCAGAGGGAAGTGGGTAGGTCAGTTACAGATGATTTCTTTAGCTCAGTGACAAAGTTTGCTTCAAGGAGAGATCTTTCCAAAAGATCAGAGGCAAATGCTTTAAAGTGATTCAAGTCATCATAATGTCTGACCACTGTCAAATGGAAATTTGCTTATTAAAACCCCAATAACCTTCCCGCCGAGATCAGTTGCAGTCAAGAGTGCTGCTGTTCCTCATCTCAAAGGTTAACAAGAGTCAGAGGACAGATTTCAAACACCTGAACCTCTAAGTGACACTTTCCTTTTCTCAAGTGCCACGGAGTCAAGAACTTAAAGGAGGGCCTTCTCTAAACATTCTTTGACACCTACTGTGTTATAAATATATCATCAGATGTGCCTTGAGATAGCATATGTAACGTTAAAAAGAATTACTGGCTATAGGAAATGTTATTGTTTTCGAAATATGGCAGAGATGGGGGGAGAGGGGATCCCTAATGTTATATTCTTTATGAAAGCATTAGCTGCTTTTGTTACATTTTTAATAATAAGCAACCACTTCTACACCTGAGGAAAACTAGAACAAAATGCAGTCTAAAATATTTGCACTGAATTGTAATTTCTCCATTAGTTTAGTCTGGAAACTTGTCTGTTTTAATACATGTTTTTAAAATGCTGTATGTAAAGGAAAAGCTGCAGACCACTGGAATACATTTGTTAAATTCTCAAACTGCAGGGACAATGGGTGATATTGGCAGTGACTTCTACATTGAGGCTTCGTTTGGTTTATTTATTAAACTGTACAGATTTTAAAATTCAAACATAGCTTTATTTAAAACACTATGCTGAACTAGTCATGTCCATTCAGACATAACCTGAACTACTGAAAAGACCAATTTCCAGAAGGTTTATTCTGTATAAACTACATATTTTAGTCCGTAGTATTTTTATTTTTGTTTTGGTTGTTTGATGTGCAGGTAGTAAAAAATAAACTTTGATCTTCCATTTGCTGGAAAAAAAAATTATTGGGGAAAAAGATCAGAAATGGATTTGGATAACTTCCAAATTGCAGTGGCCTGGCTACTCTTACCTTGTTCTGGTCTGATTCATAAACCAGATGCCTGGCCTCAGCTTCTGCATGATCATAGTCAGAAGGCAGGATCCAGTCTTTGGTTTCCTCTTTATCCATCTTCCCATCACGGTTTTTATCTCGGAATTCCACAAATTGCTCACGCTCGGTCTTCACCCACTCTGGCTCGTCAGCATTTCCATCATGGCTATACATGTCACCTATATGTGCCCATAGACACACATCAGCATTGTACATATGATTTTCAAAAGGCTGTCTCAGTGCCAATCAGACCAGCTAACAAAAACTAGCTATTCTGGTTAAAGAAGCCTCAGACATTCTTCAAGGTTTCAATACTACTTTTCCTACTGAACAAGAATTTGTGTGTGGGATAAGAATAATCTTATAGCTTAAAAACAAAAAATAATGGGAGAACACTCACACTCAAAAAACCCAAAAAAAGGAAGGTGTTTATAAAAGATTCCCAAAATACCACTCTGAGTGTCAAAGCACCACTGTGAAATATTTCTTTAAAATCCAAGAGATCCACAAAATCTGCATTTGATAGCTGAAGGCAAAATATCATCGTGGTCAGAGTCTCAGCATATACACTCTCTACTACATGTAGGTAGCATGAAATTACAGGTTTTTCACACACCCTTCCTGATAGTGACATTGTCCATCAAAACTTCCTCCCCAGAAGATCTGATAGGCCAGCATTATTCCTTTAGGTCTGTTGCTTTTTTTTGTGGGAACCAGGCAAATCCTTGCTCCATCCCTTTGCTACCTTTCACCAAATGCCTCCTGAAACTAAGTACACTCTGAATGAGGGGCTCAAAGCCCTGGAATTTTGTGACTTGGGATACCAAAAAAAGCAGAAAACCACTATTATTCAGGTTTAGGGAGAGGCAGTGTAGTAGAGAACTGGCCTTGGAATCAGTTAAACCTGGGTTCAAATCCTGCTGGGACACATAATGACTGTGTGATGACAGACAAATCATTTAACCCCTCAGTGCTCTGGAGCAACTCTAAATTGCAGAAAAGTTTGTCAACCTGAACTGATAGGAGTTTCTTCATTTAGTAGTTCCCTATACTAATGAAGGCCAGTCTCTTTCAGGTTTTACCAAGCAGGACCAAACAGTAAAAGCTCAATACCTAAAAGAGCAAAGCATTACTATGCAAAAAGAAAAGTCACAATTTCCAAGGAAACTTCTATCTTCCAAATCTCTTTGCCATATTTATATGGCACTTACTTCCACTGTGCCCTATGCAACCAAAAAAACTGCTCTCTCCCTACATCCTAAGTGGTTCAAAGTCCTTCATGGAGGCTTGAAAGAAAATGACAAAACGTGAAAATTACTCATCTAATGAGATTGGATCATCCATTCCACTGGAAAGTCTGAAGAGTTTATTTCTGGAAACACTAAAGCTCATGATAAACTTGCCCAATGTAATTTGAGAAAACTATTGGTATGCTTAGCCAGGGCTAAAGTCTCCCCTTCAGAAATGAACTGTATTTTAAAAGGAAGAATTCCAGGTAAAGTATCAGGAACCCTAAAGTGGCCTGTGAAACCGCTTCATTAATATGAGACTGCACATACCTAATTAGCGAGAGAATAAGGGATTGCTAATTGCTGTTAACGAAGGACAACAAAATTCTACAAAGTGTGGAACAAGTAGATGCTGTCTTTTAAACAACCCATATGAGGGGTCAGTTATCTGGCCACAACTCTGTGTAACTGATATCATTGCTACACGATTCCCTTTGCTTTCCTCTGTTCCTTGACTCATTCTTGGGTCTCCATAGATGCAAACTGGGCTTACTGTAATTTTTTCTGTACCTTAAGTGATAACTATCTGTAATGTCAATGCAGATCTGAGGTTGCTAACATTAGCCCCCTAGCATGTTCCTCTTTGCAGGATCTTTAAAAAAACTGCTAACTATGACTGGCCTAACCAGTAAAACTATTTTTCTAGGTAGACAGAACTCCTAGCTTCTTTAGGGAAAAACTCTCAAAAGAGGAACTCACCAATGTATTCTTCCAGATCAATGAAACCATCAGCATTTTTATCTATGTCTTCCATGGTTTCCTAATCAGGAGAGAAAGGGATAAAGTTCGTTTGTACTCGTGAAAACTATGAGTATAACATAGCCAAACACTCTTCATACACACGCGCGCGCACACACGCACCTACAGTACTTTCCTTATAACGACCCTTTGAGTTAGATAGAGCAAGTATTATTACCCCATTTTATGGATGAAAAATCTGAGCCATCAGAGTAGTTGCCCACCTTGCCCACACTCACATACCTAGTAAGTGCTCTTGGAGCTGGGATATGAATCCACATCTCCAGATTCCAAGTCTAGACTGCTTTCCACTACAGAGATGAAATTAAGCAAAGATTAAAAAAAAAAAGGAAGAAAATGAAACTGAGAGGATTCTACATCCCCAAATTCATCTTCATCCCCTTCTCTTTACCTGTGGTTCTCACAGCTAGATAATGCCGAGTGGCTTCTAAGACCACGTGTAGCTCAAGACGTTCAATTCAGTCGTTTTTTCAGTCATGTCCAATTCTTCACAACCCCATTTGGGGTTTTCTTGACAATGATACTGGAGTGGTTTGCCATTTCCTTCTCCAGTGCATTTGACAGATGAAGAAACTGAGGCAAACAGGGTTAAGTGACTTGCCCAGGGTCACATACTGACTGTCTGAGGGCAGATTTGAACTCAAGAAGATGAGTCTTCCTGACTCTATTTACTGTGCACCTATAGCTGCCCCTTATCTCAATAAAGGTAAAGTCAACTCCCTCTCTGTTTAAAAAAAAAATACAAACGTGGCTCATAATTGCGTGGTAATTAGACAGCCTGTCCAATCTTTGGTGAAAATCACTATTCTCATGGTTTGTCTGATAGTCATAGGTTCACAACTGATTAAAGATTATATGGAAAGTAGACCTTTTCGTTCTTTGTATAGGTCACTATCAGGACTTCCAATAAGCTGGTAAAAAGTGTTATCTAACACATGGTAAAATTGAGGTACACTAAAAAGAAACTGCTCCCTCAAGGTCACAGGGAAATGTCAGCTCTGGTTTGAAAGACTAATAGCCACTCTACTCTATATAGAAAACATTCAGCCAAACACACCAGAAAAAGGATAGAGAGAGCACTAGCAGCATGGAAAAAAGAATTTAGTTTATAGTCATGGAATCACCTGGCCTGATACCCACCTGAACAACTATATCTTTCATGTAGTCATATTCTTCAGGGTGAAGAAAAGCTGTGAACTCTTCTTTTGTGGCAATGAGATCTCCATCTCTGTCAGCCATTTTGAACCTCCGCTCATCTCTCATCATCATCTGTTTATAGTTAAACCCATCATCAGGGTCTGGATCATCTAGACAATAGCAATAGATCATATCCATTAGAATCCCAGAGAGAAAGAAAAGTGCTGGAACAGGGAACGCATCAAGGTAAGTACAAACTTCACCAGTCTAAATACCAAGACATATTTTAGGCTGAAGCAATAGAGGATAAAAAGAATATCAGGCCCTAGCTTTATGTTAGTAGCTACTGGCCAACCTGGAGGCCTAGTTCCTAGACTAACACTGAAGGCTTCATCCAAATATAAATATTATGACCACTGAAGAAGTGGATTTATAGAAGCCATATGTAAATACAAATATGTGGTGAAGCAGAATGAGGAAGCAAGAAGAGTTTGCTTATAGTTTATTTGCATGACCTTGGGCAAATCATTTGAATGATCCGGGTCTCAAACGTTCTCATTTGTAAAACATGGAGCTCAGAATGGACAAGTTCTAAGGTTCCAATTCCTTCCAGCTCTGGATCCTATCCAAGTTAAAAGGCTAGATTCCAAAGCTAATTTGGCCTTAATCCTAACTCTATGGTTAAGTCCTAACTCCTCCATCAATTTGTGTGATAGATTCCCAGGTATTGAAAAGGTAAAGAGTTATTTAAGCTTGGCTACTCTTCGTTTGGAGATGCCATACTTGGTACATTTGGTGTTCTTCCCAAACATAGAAAGTTCAAATACTCATGGAACTACCAGAATCTAACATGGAGATGTGTGTCTGCCCTTGAGATAAATTCATGAAGATTTTAACCAGTCTGGATTTGAAACCGCCCAGATTTTTAATAAACTGAACTGAAAAAACTGAGTTGAGGGACAATTTATTCTCTATAGATAATAGTGGCTCCCTCTAAACTGAGAAGCTATGAAGGAATCATTTTAGAAACAAGAATAAAAGTTTATTCTCTACCTACCTCACAAGATTACTGTGAGGATAAAATAAGATGACAGACAAAGTTCTGGAACTGAGTCAGGAAGGCCTAGATTCTAATCCCATCTGACACTTACTAGGTACATGGTTTGTAAAATGAAGGGGTTGGACAGATACCCTCTAAGGTCCCTTCTATAATCCTATATATCAGAGCACTCTTAAAAGTAAAAGGCATTTCAAAAGTGTAAGGAATTATTATTACAACAAACAAAGCAAATTCATTCAGATATGACATCAACTTTATAAAAACACTGTAGGGCTTCTTCACCACTAACTCTATACTGGCAACCTACTAAAATAGTTCTAAGCACAGCTTTTCTATACACCTGCAGTATAGCTGTAAAAATATTACTGCACTATTTTAAGAGTAGAACTTAAAGCTTCACTCTTTAGTGTCAAAAAACTCCACAAGTTCATAGGATTACAGATCCACAGGATTATAGATTTAAAGCTGGAAGGAACCTTAGAGGTTATCTAGTATACAAGCCCCGCTCCCCTTTTTTTTACAAATAAAGACACCGAGACCCCAAGAGATCCAAGTGTTTGTTCGTGGTCACATAGCTAATATGTGTCAGGCAGTATCTGAACCCAGTTCTTCCCAGGTACAGTACTTCGAACTCTATACCACTGTCATAAAAATCCACACTTTCAATGAAAGGAAATGACACTTCAAAATTGAAAAGACCATTTTAGTAACTACCTTCTTTAAATAGCAAGTCATCTTTTTACTCCTAAATAAAAATATAGTAGCAACTATGAAAGAAACACATGGAAGATAAAAGATTAATATTGGATTCTTAGTAAACAATCTTCCATTCCTTCTATGAAGGCTTAAACAAAATCTAAAAGACTACGGAACTATGATGTGCAAAAAGTAAAAGAGAAAGGAAGCAAGCATAAATGCAGATGTCTATTATTGCTCCTCATCTTACCTAGGCAGAGATTTATTTGCCCAAGCTGACGTATACAACACCATAGGCAGGATCTCAATCTCTTGCTCTGGGTAAGGTAGATCTCAATGTCGTCAATTTATTTTGCTTGAAACAGAGACAAAGCTTTCTTTCTCTCCCCGATGAAGTTTGTTTCATTATGACAAACTTCAATTAAAAGACTTTCTTATGTATTTCTGAACCAAAATTGTTAACCAAGAATGAAAAAAAATTTACACAAGGAAAAAAAAACCCCAAACTCTTAATCCCCTGAGAGCCACGCCTTCAGCACTCCAGGCTGGGAAGCCTTATAAAGGCACTGCTATTCCCAACCAGCGCTTCAGAACTGCGTAGTCTGTCCACAGAAACACAAACACCCTTTATGTTGAATCGTCTTCTCTTAGAGGATACAGAGCTCTCAAAGGGCAGGCAGGCACTCACATGCACTCGCGTGTGTGTATGCATATGCATATACACACACACACACACACACACTCACACACTCTCTCTCTCTCTCAGCAAAAAACGTGAGAGTGCACCTCAGACTGAACCACAATTTATTATCATGCCACTGTGCTTAGATCACCAACAACCTAGTCTCTGCTTAATATTTATTCTTAATAACAGATAAATCAGGAAGACATCTGCATGCCAGCTATCTAGCCAGGCAAGCCATACTTGATGCCTCCCCATCTGCCCTGACTTTTGAATACACATGTTCTTAAATTAGGTGAAGGGATCCGAGCAGTTCTTGGCTATATGCCAAGCATTTGAGAGATTTCCACCTTAGACTTAGGAATGAGAACAAGCTGGTCACAGACATGAAAGCCTCTTTACAAGAAATGCATCCAGTCCTACAATTAACACAAACAGCTGGTTCTCTAGCAGGAAAAGATCATTACATAGGCATCAGCTGTTAATATGTATATGTTTGTGTGAAACAGACCACTTTAAAAAAAGAAGCTTGCCTAATTTATAGGCTAAAGGTGTAGGAAGGAATGACTACTTGTATCATGTTGGCAGTTAATGTCACCAAGGCACGGGGGCATTCTCACCACTCATAATCCTTCCTGAATAAAATTCTTAAAACAGTCACCCGATAGTTAGCAGTAAGCAATCCAAAAAGGATAAATTGCTAACAGGTGGTTAGCAATGGTAAGGCTACCCACCACGCTAATAGAAAGCAATCCAAAGCAGTCAAGTAAATTCATGGGCTCGAAAATGCAAGAGGAAGGATCAACCTTCAGAAAGATTAACTCCACAGCAGTTAAATTTTGTCAGGGAATTAAAACGGCCCTATCCCACCCATTTTGTACCTTATTAATCCTCATTATTTCCTATGGTACCTCAAACAGAACCTTACACAAAAAGGCACTTAAGAAATACTTTTTCTTTTATTCTAAGTACCAAGACGATAACTGATGTGAATTTGGGGTACAATGTTGCTAATCAAATTGCATAAAGAGCTACAGCTTTTTATTTTGAGCCACAGCTGCTTATGTGAGGTCTACTGCAAATAATCCTTTGTAAAGGACATAAAAGAAAAAAGGGTCAGGGAAAAATATACTTGCAGAAGAAATGCTCAACTTGGAGCAACAGCAAAATCACAAGAGCAAAATAAAAACCACACATGCTTAAAATTATTAAGATTTAGGGAAACCAGCTCAGTTTTTGAACTTAAGCTGTTAAAGGCACAGCAAAAATTCTTTACCCTTTCCCTTATTTTGCGACCCTTTTATTTCTTTGATTCAAGACCGTGTCAGCCTCTGTTAGGCTGCCATCTTGCCTCTTACCCAGGTAAGTGCCATAGGTCACGTTTCTGTACTCATCCCAGGAGATTAAGCCGTCTTGGTTCATGTCAAACTCCTGCCATTGGCGTTCAACATTGTCAGACATGTATTTCTTCTGGGTGTGCTTAAGCCAGGACTTCAGCTCCCCCTCGGTCACAAACCCATCTTTATCCATGTCTATTTTATCTACAATCATTCTACAAGACAAAACAGTTACGTTTCAAGGTGCCGGCTCCACAAAGACTTTCACCCAGACAAGACCTACCTAATATGTAGCCGTAGGTGGCATTTTTATATTCCTCCCAAGAAACAAGGCCATCCTCATTGAGGTCATGCCCCTTCCACTGGCGCTCTACATCCTCGTAAATCCAGCGCTTTTGTGCAAATTTAATCCAGTCTTTGAGCTCATCCACAGTGACAAACCCGTCCTTGTCGCCATCTATTTTACTTACAATCTTTCTGTAGAAAATGTAGAAAAATCCAGCAAGAGGTTAAAGGATACAAGGTTCTAGATCTGGCAGTGCTCAATGTTGTGACCACATGTGCTGTCCCATACTATAGCAACAGAAGTAAACTAATTGTATCCAAAGCAGAACACGAGCAAAACATCCCAATGTGGTAGTAGGTTAAATAGCTAGCTCACTATTGCTCTTGTGGTGATTTGCCAAGAAAAGTTACAGCTACCACTGGCATCCACATGGACGGCCCAGCGTGACTGGTGGGTTATAGGCCATGATCAGACTATGAGAGTTTTAAAAATATGGTTTCTTCTATAGACTTTGTGTATATAACACTGCAGTCTCAACACTTATTTTCTAAAGGAAAATTCTCAGTGCTTGGTAAAGCACAATCACTGACATAATTATTTTTGTAATCCACAGTACTTTAAGATTTAAAGCAGATGTCATATTGGGGAGGGGAGAGAAAATGTTGGAGAAATAGACAAAATTCTGAAACTCACACCCCCACAAAACAAAACAAAAACACTGTTCTGGAATAATGTATCATCCACAAAGTTCAGGTGCACAACAAACCACGAAAAAAACCAATCATTACTGCTGCAGCTTAGCCCAGGCAGTGAAAAGGGTACTTACTATGAGGTGAGTAGGGGACTTACAGAGTAAGGTGTTAAATTTGAGTTTTATGTGTAGCTATAGAGAAAGACAACTTCCAATAAAAATGTGCCCCGTACGTATGTAGTCTACTTAGTAAGGACACACATCCTTCAATGTGAGCATGTAAAGCAAGGTGTGGATGCTAAAGTGGCCTGGGAAATGGCTTTCCCCTTTTCATTAGTTCTTCTTTCCTTCCAAGTTAAACTAGTCATATTCAATGTGGAGATTTCAAAGACCTGTGTACATCAACTTATCCCCATTTTACAGGAGGCATTCTGTACAATCCCCATCACCTGAACAGTTACACACAGCCACCAGCAGGGTGTGCCATGTAGCTGACTTGTACCATAGCTTGGTGGCTGGCAGTTCTGAAAGACACTCTCCTTGGTGACACTGTCTTTCCTACTTACCTAGGATTCATCCTATAAAAATATCAGGAAAGAATTGTTGCACCTAGAAGCGTTGTCTGTCCCCATGCTGCTGTAAGCCTCACTACAGAGGGGACGACAAGTAAAAACCAGTCTTCATCCAAGTGTACTTACTGCCCTGGTTCTGGCTAAAGAACTTCCAAGATGTTTGTGGGGAGTCAAAGGGTCTAGGTTTAAGTCTACTACTCACTAGCTGTGGAACTTTGAGAAAGCCAAAACCTCAAAGGTGATTTCTTTCTGCAAAATGGGGCTATGTACACAACCTATATAGCTGGTTAATCAAATTAATGATCTCATTTCATGCAAATTGGAATGCGACTGAATAAAAGGGGACTGGATTTGTGATTTAAATGGTATAAGGTACTTTTGGGTGAGGAAATTCCCTCTACCAATGCAGGTGAACATCTCTGCAACTTAAAGAGTTCTAATTTCTAAGAAAGCTGCCTAGTGTGCTGAGAGGTTAAGAGATGCTCAGGGTCACACCACCTGACATGTAAGGGGGCAGGATCGGGAACCTGCTCTTTCGGATTGTGTGGCCAGTTCTACCAACTTTGGCACAATGTCTCTCACTGTCATGTAAATACTGTTACAATGGTAATGTGCCTATTTTGATTGAAGCAAAGTATTATCAAAGTGTTGGCAAAATCTAAACTAGCTGTATTATGCCAACAATTAAGCTTTGAATGTCTTGTCCAAGAGGACTCAGTGCTGAGCTTAGAATGATACAGGTTGCTGATACACACCACAGTACAATTAAGCAAAAGTCTGGTTATCATAACCACAGAACAAGTATTACCAAACTAAATAAAAGGGTCATGTGCAACAACAGGAAAAAGATTCCTGAAATAAGGGAATCATAATTTCAAAGAGAGAATTTCTTTCTTGAAACTTTATTCTATTTATATTATTAGTAGGAGTATCCTAACTGGCTTCTTCATAAAGTAGGACTAGTTTTCTTTGTTACAAGGGAGGAGTGTGGCACATGAAGAAATTGTGATGGAAAAACAAAAGACAAGATTAAAACTTGTTTTTCAAAAATTGGGAGTAAGAGAACATGGGGAGGTACAAAGAAAAAGCTTTAAACTTTGATCTTAACAATCTTTATTTTTACAAATTCATAAAGGTACCAACAGTGTTAGAATATCAGAGGATCCTTCAAGACATGGGAAAATTACTTATGTAGTTATGTTAAGGTCCCGAACAAATATTTAGACACAATTGAGATTACACTACTCTCCTTAACTGACTGGAAGCTTTGCCTTGCGATTGGTACAAGCAAACCCAAAGTGTTTCTTTTTGTAAGTTCTATAGGGGCAGAAGGTCTTTGCTCTATTAAAAAACACTGAACCACAAAGAAAAAAAAATAAACTCCCTCCCTGCCAAAAAAAATTTTAAACTTACTTAGACAAGAGAAACAAAAAATATTGTATTCATTGACCTTTAAGACTATATATACTTCAATTCTGTATAATGGACTGTTTAAGGGAGAACAGGCAAATGGGAACAGAAGAGCAGAAAATGAAGAAGGGGAGAAAGCCAAGGCAAAAGAAACCAGGATCACAGGGTTGAAATACGGAAAGTGGTTTGTAAAAGAAACTCTTAAATGCTATTTAAATATTAGCTATTATTACAAAAAGATGTAACAAAAATGAGCTGACTTTCATAGAGTAACATCTTCATCTAGTGGCTGTTCGAGGTATTACATTTGTACTTAAATGGACACTACATATTTGTAACAATAAGCATCAAGAGTGTTCTCTTAAGCTCTGGCCTCATAAACAGCTCGAAGTTGAGGACCACAGTATGTGGTTTATTCAAGTTTTGCTTTTCACTAATATCCTAGGACTTCCTTGGGCTTCAGTTTCCACACCAGAAAAGTGAGGGTGCTGAAATAGAAGGCCTCTCCGGTTCCTTCCAGCTCCCTATCTTGAATTCTAGTATATGTATGTATTCTCAACAAGGTTACTCCTGGTTTGGTGATCTTCAAGTAAACAGATAAGTTTTGTAACCAAAGTTGCAGGGAGAGCCATTCTCTTGAGAAGAGAACCCAAATCTCAAGGCCCTTAATAGTTCTGAGTAATCCTGGAAAGTGAGTTATATTAATGCAAAGTGGGCTGATCAGGGCACAAAAGAAAACGGAAAATTGTATGGACTGCCTGGTGGGCAGAGGCTTGATGTACAATAAAAAAAAATACACTTATCTTTCCAAAAAGATTTATAAGATATAAAGTAAGCATGCAACTAAACATGAAACTTTTGTGTGAGTAAACATTCTGTTTAACAGTTTTTTTGTGTGTGGCACTTGTTCAAACTAAAGCTTATTTTGTGCCATGGACTCCGCTGGCAGTCTGGTGAAGCTTGTGGATCCCTTCTCAGAATAAGGTTTTATAATAATTGAAGGAAATGCTAAATTTCACTGAAAATGAAGATGTAGGGTTTTTTCTTACCCAAGTTCACAGACCAACTGAAATAAGTTAAGAACCTTTGCTTTATAAAGTAAAAACATACAATTGCTTTTCCTCATCATTCAAAGGTATATCCTCCTTTTTGTGAACAAGTCTGTGAGGAAGGCTTCAATACCTAATAGAAGTTAATCTTGACACATTCCTCACAAGAAATCCTGTGACAAACCACTAGTCAAGTTATTTTTTGAAGGTTACACAGGAAAACAGGAGTTTCAATCTTAGAAAATGCAACTTATTCATATGAAGAGTCATGGTTCAGTTTAAAATATGTATCCTTTACATCCACTGCAAAACAACTTTTTCTAACTCACTGACCTACACCTAGAGGGTAAGTAGTTTTTGAGATGAACGAAGAGAACATTTCTTTCTTCCCTTAGGGCCAAAAATCCCCTAAAGATCTTAGAATAGGGAAAAAGATTCTTGAAACAAATGTGGTTTAATTATAATGAAACAACTATCACACTTAAATAGAAACAGGAATAGCTTTGCAGATCGACACATTTATCCAAAAGAACCCTCAGACAGAAGCAAATAGGAGGCATGATATTTAAAAGAATAACTTCCTCTACATTTAAGTGCTACTCTGATACATCTTACCTGGCAGGAAAAACTTAGTGATAAACTCTTTTTATCTGAGGGTCAGTTCAATTAAGATGAAAAGATTTAATCACTCAAATATAACAGGTAATAAATTTTTCAGCTCTGGAAAATGCATGAAATTTATCAGTAAGGAGTACTCATTTGCTAGTAAAAACATGGCTCATTAAAAAGTTTTAAATTTAATGTATATAGGAAAGGATATGCTCCCAGAGGCTATGGAACCTGGACTTTCAATTGCTCTTAAACTAAAGGGATAAGGAACTGAAAAAGTTCAAGCCCTAAAAAGCCACAATGACAAATGGAAAGGCTTCCACAATTACCATGGTCCCACTCTTACTGTGTCAGTCCTTATGTCCTGGCACTAAAAGCTATAATTGGCACAAACCTGTAGCCAATAAAAGCTTTTTAGCAGCAATTGGAATATCTGGAGGCTGGGACCTAACAGAAGGCAGTCTTAACGGAAGGCAAAGAATCCAAATAGTAGTTTATTACTCACAAAATAATGTGACCTCAGTCAGAGCTTGTGATGGCATGCTGGTATTAAAACTAATATAAAGCATCAGCATTGTATTAAAATAGTAGAGTACAAGAAGAAGCCTTTACCCACTCTTCATTTTTATGTAAAGATGATTTGGTTTTGTCAATATGTACTACTATGAAATATTTCATAAGGAGATTTAGGAAAGCAGACTCTCAACCTTTAATGGTACTGGTTCTTAGCTGGGCTTCAGGTTATAGTTAACACAGATCCAAAGGAGAGGAAAGCTAGAGAAGAAAAAGGAGAATGATTTAGATATCCCTCTCAGGGCTAACCCCTTACCCAAGTCGCTCCTTGCTCTCCTCTGGTGTCAGCTGATCAAAGGTCTTTGCCTCTTCTGCCCCCAGGAATGCATCATGGTCATAGTCAAAATTCTGGGCATCATCATGAGGCTTGTCACTGAGCTGAGGCTCATGGTGTACTCTTTCCTTTTTCTCTGTGGGCTTGCTCAAGGCACAGACTGTACACAGGGATAGGCACATCAGAAACTGTCGCAGGTCCATGACTTGATCTGATCTCAAAGAAAGAAGAAGCAGAGAATTCATATGGCAGTGTGGTTTCCTGGTTATAGCGCTAATTTGTTCTTATTGTATGAACCTGGGCAAATCACTTAAATCTTCCTGTTTTTCACCCTAATTTTATTTTTTTTTTTGGTGAGGCAATGGGGTGAAGTGACTTGCCCAGGGTCACACAGCTAGTAAGTGTCAAGTGTCTGAGGTGAGATTTGAACTCAGGTCTTCCTGACTTCAAGGCCAGGGCTCCATTCACTGCACCATCTAGCTGCCCCTACATCCTAATTTTAAAAAACTAGGATGGGAGCACTTAACAGATACCCTGCACTACAGTACTCGGGATGTATTGTCACAGCTTCCTTTATTTGTCTGCAATTTGAAAGTAAGTTTATGTTTCATTTTGTTCATTTCCCCTTCAAAGCACTCACCTTGGGGAAAGGGGTGGTAGGAGAGAATTTGGAACTGATAAAAACAAAACAAAGTACTTCAGTTGAAGGGATAGATTAACTTTTAGTGAAACTCCTAGATCCTACTATCAATTTAACTAAAATTAAGTACCCACCATATCCATACAATATTTGCTAGGTATGACCCTTAAAAAAAATTAAATAGAACAGTTCCTTCACTCAAAAAGTTTATACTCCATTAATTAACGCATTATCTCCTAACCCATAAATATTATCCATTATTATCTCAGCAAAATATAGAAAGTATCTATTCCTTGATTCCTTTTATAGAAATGTGAGAATTGATAGTAAAGGGGTCATTAGCAGAGAAGAGCTAATGATATGCCATACTGACTGAGGTAAAAAGGGACAGGGGAGAAAAAAAATTGGCTAAAATTATATAAAGGTCATTCTCCTTCCATTCAACCTTTTATATTTTTCTGAAGCTTTAAAAAGAAAAAAATTTCAACTAGATTTGTTTTAGTTTTTCCTCTAGTTTTTACATCTCAGAGAATCATAGCTTTAGAGCTGAAAGGGACCCTCAAAGTCAGCTAATCCAACAAGTAAGGAATCTGAGGCTTAGAGAAGTTGTGATTTCTCTATGGGTCAATCAGTCAAGCGGCAGAATCAGGATCTGACTCCCCATCTAGCACTTTTTCCACTGAATTTTTCTACTAACTCACAAGCAGATTGGCAAACAATTTGAATTATTTCATTAGTACTGAAAATGGGTTTGTGTTCATTCATTCACTCCCTCTTACTCCATTCCAGTGGTGACTGAATGCATCTACTTGAAAGACAACTGACTGGTTGCTGAAAGCACAGTATGTGGCACAGAACAAAAGTGAATAAAATGGCCCACATGGAATGTAAATCTACAACCCTGCCTAATGAGTACAGTGCTCTTACCAAAGGACTTTTAATTCATCATATAGGAAGTCACTGGTAGTGAATCTGGTCTAGGTCCCTATATGTCTGCATGATATAAACCAGTTCCTAACCAAATATTTAAAAAAAGATACAAAAACTTCTATCTCTGGTGATAACACTTTAATCAGGACTGAATCTAGACAAAGAAATGATCTCATTGAAAGCTAAAGCATAATTTAAGGCAGGGCTTACTTTTTCCACTCTCAACCCCTTCAGTGTTTCTTAAACTGTGGGTCTCGACCTTATTAAGGGACAGTCACAACAAAAGAACCTACTCTGAAATACATTTCAAAAAGGAGCATTATTGGGGCAGCTAGGTGGCACAGTGCACACCGGCTCTGGAGTCAGGAGGACCTGAGTTCAAATTCTGCTTCACACACATAACACTAGCTGTGTGACTCTGGGTAAATCACTTAACCCCAATTGCCTCACATAAAACAAAAGCAATAACAACAACAAAAAAAGATGTGAATGGAGCATTACCTACCCAAAACCACCCCTAAGTTCTATGGTTTAGCCAAAATTTGAGAACTAGGTGGAGGGAAAGAGGTGTGGGGGGAGCTGGGGAGTTGGAGGGTTGAAAAGGGTTAGTACCCTAGGAAAAAGAAATCAATGGCAGCAGAAGAAATGTAGTTTCCTCCATATCTGAATTTCTGTAATCAACCAACCAACCAACAAGCATTTATTAAGGACCTACTATGCACCAGGCACTGTGGATGTAAATACAAATAATGAAACAATTCCTACACTCAAGGGACTTAACAATCTAAGGGAGACAACAACGAGATACACATACACATGTATAAAAAGAACAAATACAAAGTAGTCAAATACAAGGTAGTTTGAGAGGGAAGGTTCTATCTAGCAATTGAGGGGATCAGGAAAGGTAGTGCTTGAATATGTCTTAAAGGAAGACAGGAATTCTATGAGGCAGAGATGAAGAGAGAGTCCATTTTCAGGCAGGAGGGCAAGCTAGTGAAAAGGCACAGAGATGGGAAATAGGGTATCATGCATGAGAAACAGAATGTAATTAGATCACAGAGTGTGGGTGGGGGGAATACATCTAGAATGCCGCCAGTTCTCTAAACTGAATATATAAAGTTCTACTGCATTACCATGTATTAATGTACTTTTCAAACCAGAAAAAAACAGCTTTTCCCCTAAAGTAGTGCAAAAGCTAAATGACAAGTATGTTATTTAAAGGCACAGGAAAGGAGAAGATGGAAGTAAAAGATAACTTACATTTTAACACTACTTAGGAAGTTGATTGCACTAAGGTATATAACCCTGACTCTTCATTAAAGATTTCTAGACTATCAAAGAACAGAATACAATGTGAAAGAACAGAAACAAGGTGAAAAAACCTTGGGGGATAGATGCTCAGGAGAAAGAATGAAGAGATTCATCCTGAATTAGCTGAAAGGACACCCTTAAGCCAATAAAAGCTTTTCCTGCAAACAGGTTTCTAGAACAAACACAAGACATTTAACAAGGTAGATCAAAATTCTTTACTCAGGTGGTAAAGCAAAACTCTTTCTACTGTCTCTTCCAAACTGAGACAGTAGTTTATATTCTGTATTAATGTTATGAAAACTATTTCTGTAAAGTATAACATACTACTTCTGTTAAATGACACTTTTTAAATGACACAAAACTAGTTACACAAGAAATCAAATGAAGATACAAATAACAAAGAGAAAAATGAAGGTCTCGAGAGTCAATAGAATTATGGGTTTTTTGTTTTCATTTTTTTACCATCTGACCAAATTATATATTTAGCACGGGCTTCGAGAATGAAAGATGATGTTACATTAAGCATTAAAGAAAATTCCCAGGGGGCAGCAAGGTGGTGCAGTGGATAGAGCAATGGCCCTTTAGTCAGGAGGACCTGAGTTCAAATCCAACCTCTGACCAAACACTTGACAATTATCAGCTATGTGACCCTAGGTAAGTCACTTAACCCCAATTGCCTTAAAAAAAAAAAAAAGAAAAGAAAAAAGGAAAGAAAATTCCCAGAGCAAGTGTCATGATCATCTTGTACTAGAGATTGTATAATTCTGTTAAACAAAAATCCACGGAGAGCCAGACAGCAAACTTCAATCCCAAGGTGGATGATATTTAGGAGATACAAAGTCAGAAGTGAAAAGAAGTGCAGATTTAATAGAGACCTTGACACAGGGCTCATTCTACTGATTATATAAGCAAAGGATTTCAATTTCAATAAAACTTTTTAATGCTAAACTATACCCATGAGAAATTGAACACTGTACACTAGTAACTCTTACAAACAACAAGCATTACAGCATAAATGTTTAAAGCCCACTTCATGATCAGACATAGCAAAGCAGGAAGCTTGTAAGACTTAACATTTAGTGAAAGTTAACACTTCCAATATTGTAATGTCTTTAGAGGAGAAAACAAAATGCAGAGTCAACATTTGAGGTTGGTTATTTTGACTCAGAAGCAGCATAACTTATCAGAATAAGCAATGGATTTAAGAGTCAGATAACAGGCTTCAGTGCTCTAGCTCTGCCATTGACTATGATTTTGTTTGATGGATGGTCACAAATTTCTGCTTCAGTTTTCTCTTTATAAAAGAGAAATTACTACTTTATCTTCTAGAATAGTAGCATGGTATGGTAAAGCACTGCACTAGGAGTCAAAAGACTTGAGTTCAAGTCCTAATTCTGACAATTGCTAGCAGTATAACCACAGGGAGACTAACCTTTTCTGTACCGATTTCATCTATAAATTGAGAATACTAATAACTTGCACTATATACTTAAGAGTATAGTTATCAGTAAAAGGCTTTGTCAAGCTTAAAAATTGCTATAAAATGTGACTTATGCCTAGTTTCCTTTCAACTCTTCCACTATGTGATTCTCAACAAATCAAACTTTCCCTGAGGTCATCTCTTTATTGATAAGGTGGAGGGGGTTTGGATTAGATGATTCCTCCATCACATATAAGACCTCTTCTAGCTCCAAAATGCTATTAATTCAGCAGTGCTTTTTGTGATAGCAAAGAACTGGAAACAAAGTAGTTGTTCACAGACTGGAAAATGGCTAAATAAATGGTGGTACATGAAAATTATGGAATATTATTGTTCCAAAGAAAGACCATGAGGAATTGAAACGTGGAAAATATAAACTGATGTAAAAATAAAGTGATCAGAATCACGAAAACAATATTCACAATGACGACAATGTTAAAACAGAAAGAATAATAAAAGCTGAAAGCTATATAATTGTGATGACCAAACTTGGCCCTAGAAAGGGGAAAATCACGGGAATGGAATGTTGCATATGTCGTCAAATGTGATCGATGTTCTGGTTGGTTTTGCTCAACTTCCCTTGCAAAGTTTTTTTTTTTTTTTTTTAAAGATTTGATGGGTGGGGATTGGGATATATTTGGAAATAAAAGCAGCTTCATCCATATACATATATATATATGGAAAGAGAAGGAAAAGGAAAAGGAAAGAGAGGGAGAACTTTAAAGTTTGCAACCTTACTTTATATCTCACATTTTTATCTCTTTATATCTAACAACTCTCTGAACAGCTTTATTGCTGTTATTATCCCCTTTTTACAGATGAAGAAACTTCAGCTGAGAGAGGTTACATGACTTG